TTAAACTTGTGTCACGTGTCATTGGGGAGATAGCACGTGTCATTGGGGAGCTAGCACGTGTCATTGGGGAGCTAGCACGTGTGAGTTGGCTATTTGGGAGTCTGTGGGAGCTGGCTCGTGCGTGAACTGTCAGCGTAGAATCACTGGAGTTGAATGTTGATCACATCATATGATGTGTTGTAGAGAGATAGTTCATTCCCTCATAATGAACAGTTGATGTAGGGAGGTTGTTACCTTATACTCTTATAATATAAGACTCGTGTTCTAACACCAAAACCAAAACTAGAGCTGACCTTTAAAGTTTATGCGATATAGGGCAAGAGTTGACTGTGCAATATATTTTCTATCCAATTCCATTCCATTTGTATAAGATGTGAAATAGACGGCGAGAATCACGTTTTGTTAGGTATGCAAGGTAGCCTAAAAGTTGAAGTTTTAGAACACGAGGAATTTGAATTTAAGCCATATAATTAGGACTTCAGAATCATTTAATCACGAACGACGAAATGATTTTTAAATCTAGTTGAGATAAATTCTTGCTGCATAAATAAATACTGTAATCTTACACATTAATAACTACTCAGTGCGCAGTAATGACAGTAAATGTGCTTCAACTAGAGAAAAAAAATAAACTGATGATCGTTACTACACAACTAAATTCAATACATATCAATGCTCATATCTACAACTTGCACTAGCCTGTAATACTAACTACCAGTGTGATTCGCTGATACTAACTGCGAAGGGTGTAGTTGTTATAATAAGGATATTTGAGCACTTCGTTCCACAGAAATATACATCATCAGAGGGTTAATATCAAGGTTCCGACCTACGTCATAAGTGGACAACTAATAATAAACCAATAAATTAGATACCAACTGATATATTGGATACCAACCTATGAGTAGGGTATCTCAACATTGCAGTTTACAACCAATATCTGTACCATCTGTAAACCAATAATCACAAACAATACCAACCCATAACTACAAACATAGTGCCAATAACAACTACCAGAACCCAATAGCAAGTAACAGCTGCTAATATACAACCACTATACCACCCCTGCTGTTTGGCGAGGAGAGAGACGCTAATATCCGCTATTATCCGCACGTGTACACTGAATACACTAGTTATTAAATTACCACGTGCTAACAACTACACTAATTTAACTAATTTAACTAATTTAACTAAGTTTTAACTAATTTAACTAAGTTTTAATGGGTTCTAATGCTTTCTATACCATAACCTCGGGACACAACACCTCACATCAAGTACTACTACTACTAGTGCACTAATACAATACCATTAACTACACTGTTATGGACCATAACTACTTTGTTCTAGACCATTACGCATCAAATCACTACAGCTCTAAACTTGAAAAGGAAGAGGAGAATTGACGAACTGAAAAGCTATAGTGTTACAAATTACGGGTTTACACGCGTTTGCAGCTTTATTCAGTGTTATATATACACACTTAATGATTACAATCATTACAGTGTTTTCTTTGCTCAAACTTCGAGTTACGTTCGAGTCAAGTAGTCACGTTTCAGTCAATGCGGTGTGACAATCGATAAGAACATCCATGATGCATAACGGTCAACTTGCAATTCACAGAGCACGGAATATTGAAACGTGCAAATCACAGAACACGCACCCCCACTTCCCATTTCCCAACAATTTTCCCGCCATTAACAGGCTCCACTCGTTCCTCCCCGAGGATGATGTAATGCTGACTAATAATAAACAGTTTAGTAGAATGTTCTAGAATAGCTTCAGTAAATAGTTGTGAGCTGGTTAAGCAGTTAGTGATGCTGGTGGTGGGAAGGGTTACGTAGTGCAGACATTACCAGCGACTGATAATATAATGATAATAAACTAAGTAATAAGTGTTCGGGTTTAGTGAAATGTTCTAGTAGAATGTTCTAGAAGGAAGTTCAGTAAAGAGTAGGGAGATAGTCAAGCAGTTAGGAATAATATGACGGTGGTGTGGGTAGTGAGTAGTGAGAGATTGCGTAGTGCAGACACTGACTAACGAGTAGTAGGCTAAGTGCCCAGTAGGTGATGTATGACGTCTGTGAGTGTGCGGCTTGTTGAGGATGTGAGGTGAGGTGAACAAGGGATTGAGGGCGGGAATTACGTCCATTCTGTAAACATGCACGTGCACACTGCAGAGAGGATTAGAGATTGTTCTAGAAATAGAGCACGTGCAGATGCGCGTTAGATAAGCAGGAAGCAACAGAATGTTGGAGCATGTGCACGACCTGCAAACAGTGTTACACCCTAAATAAACGCAAGGTTGAGGGAATCGGCCTAAAACTGAGAACAATTACAAGACTTCTCATCCTGCTATTCAGAGTATTGTTATAGAGTCTGCAATTTGAAGCCTTTTTTAGGCTTATCAGTAGTTTTAAACTCTGGCCCATCAACACTCCTTTGGTAAGGTAAGGTTAAGGCTGCATCGTTAATCACTTAAATACTGGGTTAATTAAAGGCGTTGAAATATTGCTAATCGAATCTATAACTGGAGACGGGTGCAAATATAAGTCTGCGAAAACCCATGATCATGGCATTTTCAAAAACGGATGTGACTTTAGAACTAGCATCTCCCGACTCCCATCATCAAGAGTAGAAACAAATAAAAAGCACGTAGTTAGGAACTGTTGAAACGAGCGATTACAAACAGGACAAGTGTCAAGCTAATGTTATAATGACAGCGTAAAAATATGGAAACTTTGTAATTTTGTCATCCACAAGAAACATCCGCAAATTTATTGTTATTAATGTTGGCTATTTTATTCAAGCAGCATTTAAACATATCGAAACTTAGTCATTTATACTGCCGAAAAGACACAACCGCAGCGTTATTGAAATGCCGACTATTATTTTCATTTTTCAAGCAGAAAAATCCTGACAGGCATTTATCATCCAAGCAATTTATCAAAAGACCTAACAGTATCATTCATGCACTACATGTTTTTAACATCAAGAAGGACCAGAAAAACAGAGCAATCACTGTAACGAAACAATGAAGAAAACTGTAACGAGACAATGAAGAAAACTATAACGAGACACACCAACTCAATCAGTCAACAAATTCAACAAGAAACTAATCCGCACCACACTCAGCGCAAACAAGCAGTTGATGAGCAAGCTAAGTTTTTCTAAGTGTAGACTTGATAACCTAGCCAGTGCTTGTTAGCCACTGTGAGTACGGAGCCGGTCTCAAGTTATATTGTCTGTGTTGCAGTGTCAGGTCTATTGGTAACACGCAGCTTCATGGCTTGTTTCTGTGAGAGTTTGTGGCAATTCTGCAGAGGAAATTGAGGTATTTGTGTAAAGTTTCCTGACAAAGGCCTGGAATTTTACGCTGAAGTCCGTAGAAGTTCTCTCACGTATGAAAAACAGTGAAGTGATTTAATTAGCACTGAAAACTATGGCTACATCTATAGAAAACATGCAATGACAACTAATTGTACTGAAGATTAAACATTTAAACTATGCGGAGCCAGCTTAATTGTGATCGCGGGTAATATTAGAATTTTAGCAATATAAATCAGTATTTCAACCGACACAAGATGAAAGTAAAAGAAAGGATTCAGAAGCTGTTCAATAATTAATTCAGTCATGATTTTGGGTAGACAATTCGCAATACAAACCACCAATCAAAACAAGTTCCCTCGACCAAACAGGGTAGAATGTGAATAAAGACAGTAGGATAACCAAGTTTACTACACGAACATTGTCCGACTTAACATACACCACTCAACCGTGCAGAGAGGTAAACCAATTGCTACATAACACACAGCTCAGACAGCTGCGATACGGCCTACAATTGCTGGAACGCTAAACTACTAATTCAGTTGTAATACGGAGTATTTATAAGTGGATCTGTACGGGCCGTTACGCAATCAACAAGCTGTATCCGCGTACATAGCGGACCCAAACTAGCACCCAATACCGAGGTCCACGGGCAATTATACTATGTTCTCTGAATTAGATACACGGCCCGGTAATGGTATATTGCAGGAGTGGGGTGGAGTATAATGGTTTAAGAGGTAGGAGTGGTTCCGCGGAGAGGGCGGAAATGGGGCACTTACAATATTGTGGATTAGTAACTCATTTAAAGTCTGGTTGGGATTTGTACATGAACGATCTCTATTTGTTGCCATTTAGTCAGTCGGATTAGTCTTACAGATATTATGTGGTCATATCTCAGATATGTCTGCAATATTTCAAACCTTTCGTCATCCACACAGCGTGATATAATTCCCAGTTCTCCATAGTGAGATATTGCGGATAACACCCTGATCCTTTGAGAAATCTCATGACCGTCTCGCTCGAGGATAAGCACCAAAAAAGGAATAATTCTTCGCATTTTTTAGTGTACGAGCGTCCGCGGATCGGGAACCTCGACTTCCACGTGACGGGAGTTAGTCGGGTGCTACGATCAGTTGTTTGCTTTTCTCGCGCCGCTTCTGCACTTCCGCAGCCGAGCAGTGAGATAAGTGATGCCTATGTAATGCTAAGTTACAGTCGAAAAGCGCGGAGATCATTTATTTTTCACTTAGCCTCACGCTTCACATCCTTCTTTTGAGAATGCATGACCTTTCTTATAGTATATTGAACTTTTATAGCGCATTATTTTAAAATATTAACGAGTCAACGAATGCCGCAAAATTAATTGAATACAATTGAATAATAATTTTCTCGGGTCTTGTTCCGTTTAGACGAATAATTGCCAGAGGAAGCTGTTCAAGTCGTTCAGAGACGCTCTTACTTTTAACAGATCATTTACGAACTTTGTCCATCCTAGACCGCGAACTGTCAGCCGAACTTTCCGTATGATCACAAGTTCAACTTCTATCGGGCTATTAGCACTGTTGGCTGTTCAAATCATGACGACTAACATTTCTTGTTAAATTATAATATAGATGGCAATCTAAAATTTGAAAATAAACCAATAAACTGCGGATAATTAATAGAACAAAGCCTACCTCAGGACTGTCGAAGTTGATGTAGACTGAGGAAGTAGACCCGAAATAGTCCCTCCCCTTCCTCATCAGAACCCTCGGCCGACTGCTCGGGGTCAACATGGAACTGACCCTCTTAACAAAGGTTCTGATGTATTTAGGGGAGCCTATCTTTTCCAAATCAGGACTGGTCTGTACTGGACACGAGTTGTATTTCTCTTCCATTTCACGGCGCTTCAGATACTTCTCCTTGTGGTGTTTAAACACCTGGGGTAGAAAACGTTCCAGAATGGAAATGCAACAGCTACAGTTCATGCAACAACTAGACTATTGAAGCCAAAGATGGTTACCCTTGAAGCTGGTGTCTCTAGTCTTCTAGTGAACAGATGAAATGTACATTCTGAATAGAAAATATCTGAAATGTTATTTCCACTGACCTGTGTCTCGCTGAATCTCCTGGTAACGTCATTCCGGGTCTTGTTCCTCAGAATGAACCTCCGTTTGGGGGTGTTGTAGACTCCAGCTAACTGGTGACTAACATCCAGACACTCCAGCATGTTGTCGTTTGTTATCATGATCTCTGTGTTGGAGGGAGGGGTGAGTGAGGGAACTGCAGAGCTCGGTAAAATAGTAAATACTGGTCGTTAACAAAGTATAAATATTGATCACAGTAGTCATTAAAATTATAGTCATTAAAATGAAATTACAGTCATTAATATGAAGAAAATTATTTAAATAACTAAAGAAGTATAATGACTGACCTGGAGTTGTAGGATTTAGGAACTCCCGATCACTTATAGAGCCAGGAGAACACGGAGTGATCGCCTCTACAATATACATATCATCACCATCAAACGAATCAAGGGAGTCAGAGTGAAGTTCTGAAGACTTCTGGGTCAAGTACTTCTTATCAAGAGATGAAGATCTGATGAGAAGACTTTTTCTCTTACTAGGCCTTATTGAACGTTGGTTACGAGTGAAGTATATCGGATCATCAGGGAAGTTGCTTGGTAAGGTAACCGAGCCGGGATCACAATTCTCTTCAAGATAAGCATCGTCAGGGAACAGACCTAATGGTAACTGAGGGTATGACAGCATACCGAGAGGATCAGCCGTTTCGCTCATCAGGGGCGACAAAACGTCCTCTGATCTGGATATCCCTGGATCGAGAAAGTTTTCGTCAATGTTTCTGGGAGCAGGGTCAGGAGTATCAGAAAGTTTAATCTCAACGTCTTTTTGCTCAGTAGAAAGGGCCTTTTCTTGGAAAGAGGTGGACATGTTCTGATCAACAGTGTTGTTTTTCTGCTCGACAGTTACTATTACATCGTCTTGCTCTACTGTATTCAGCTCCTTTTCTATGTCTTCACTTGAAGATGAAGCCTCCAGATTCAGATCAGAGCTGTCATAGTACAACTCCTTCTCCGGGGTCTTCGGCTCCTGGAAATTGTCATCAGGAGAGTTGTAGATCTTATCAGAGTTAGTTTTCTTATCCCAGTCATGATGAGAGGATAGTTGCTGGATTGGTATACCCATGGGCATCAGAGGGACACTGTTCTGAGGGGTAGTCACCTCCGGATCAGGACAACCATATTCGTCCATGGTGATGTTGAGAGCAGGAGACCTGTTGGGATCAGAGAGGTCGTTCAGGGCACCAGCAGTGGAAATCTGGTTAGCTAGGTCCATGCGGATAACATCCTCTATATCCTGCCTGACTGGAGTCATTTCTCTGCGTCCACCACAATCTGCTACTTCGTCGTAATCATCATCAACATCTGTGTCATCATCATCATCAATGTCAGTAGAAAAGAGGTCGCTTGAGGAGATGGTTGATGAACAATTCTCTCTATTCAGCTTCAAATCATCGGAAGTTAACAACATGATCTCACTATCCGATCTCTCATCACAGGACATGGCTAAGAACTCAGAGCTACCTCCAGACATTACAGACGCGTCAGTGTCAGTCAGGTAGAAGCCCTGTCTGTTACACTCGTTCTGTGCCAATTTATTCTGAAGACTCTGGTTAAGAAGCAGCTCGGTTGGGCTAATCACAACAGTGGGCATGGAGCTTCTTCTAGGTGAGAGATCCAGCGCAGTTTTCTTAACTTTAAGGCACTCTTTAGAGTTAGACTGAGATTTACTCATGCTTTTCTTCCTTTTCTCTGAGTATTTGACAGCGTGATTCTCCTTGGAAAGGTCCAGATCGTTAGGTCGACTCCGGGTTGAAGTAGGTCGTTTCATCGTACGTTTAGTCTGAGTGTTATTTCTTTCAGGTGCTTTACTTGGCTGTCTCATTTTCGACAGATTCCTGTTTGTTGAAGTCTTTCTAGATTTAACACTCTCGTTGGAGATATTGGACTCGCTGGAGATACTGCGTTCCATTTCTAGGGAGGGATGTTTGCAAACTTTAGTCTTACTTGGAGGAGGAGGAGCCACAGCAAGAGACTTTGAAGTAGACTGTCTAGCTGTAACTGATCTTTTTATCCCGGCTCCAGAACGGGGCGGCGCAACGGGTCCATCACTTTGCCCTGGAGAACCAGATGTACTTCTTGTAGACAGTCGTTTGGTTTTATTTTTACTCCTCTCTGAGGCTGGAGCTACCCTCCGGGGTGGTTTGGGAGTTGGAGCAGCTTTAGCCTCTGAAGATGCTCGGGAAGAAGACGGTGCTTTTGTTGAAGTGGGTTTTGACGAAGTGGGTTTGGTCGAAGTGGGTTTGGCCGAGGCAGGTTTGGCCGAGGCAGGTTTGGCCGAGGCTGGAGTTTTCAGGCCACTACTCCGGCGGCTGGGTCTGGGACTGGGACTGCTGTTGACGGAAATTCCATTAGCGACATTTTGAAGCGCTGATGGTTTGGTTTGTTTAGGAATAGTTTTAGTTTTTGAAGATGGTGGCTGGAGTTTTGAGGGTTGGCGGAGTTTTGAAACTCCTGGTTTTGTTTTACCGTTGGTTGGTTTGCTATGTGTTGAGTCGCTCAGTTGTCGTTCTCCGGAGGACATTATTATACATTCTGAGCTGAAAGAGTGACAGAGCGTTTAGTGATAGTTGCACAAGATAACAGAAAGCTGCGTTTTACGTATGCCGTACAGAAAGAGATATCAATACAAGCTTGACAAAGAACACTGATACGCAAGAAATATGTATCTGTTATATTGCTACTCTAAGACAAAATCTGCATCACAGTTCAGGACATTAAAAAGATAATGTCGAACACACAATACAATACAGATCAATAAAATAGTCGAACTGAAACGTCCAGATTACTTCTGGAGCCACTCTTAATCTTATATTCTAATGACCACTGAAGCTCCACTAAGAATAAGATTATCCAAGCAATCCCCACAGTCGAATAAGGACGGCCCGAATTCCCAGACCCTTGATAGGTCAATCTATGAAGCAGACTGCAGGGTCAGAGTCGAACCAGGAATACAGTTGGATAGTGGGCAGGGCTGGACGGTAACTCGTTACTTTAACAAGACACCGCCAGTATGGAAAGGGAGGCTACATGCCAGGAGCAAGGGGAGGTTTACAGGCCGGATATTAGGGGTAATCTGTTTGAAGGTCTAATAGGTTCTAGATCAAAGATATGTTATGAGCTGCAACTAACTTGTCTACTAATTCTTAGTTGGATACTGTGATTAACTAATTTCTTTATGGAACTAACTGAGCGTTTGTTTCCGGGATATTAAGCAGCTGGAACAGCGATAGACGGAGAAGGCAAATAAACCAACAAAAAAACGGAGAAAAAAATAGCACGAACCATAAAAGTGGAATTCCTAACAAACAGCTAAAAAGTCGGTCAAACTGTAAAAGTTACTGAAAGAACGTATGTTTTCAACACATTGCCGCCGATATACTACATCATCTGACACCACGTTACAACATATATTAAATGCGAGAGAATGTTGGTGGAGTTGCCGGAACACTGGAGTAGTTAAGCTGAGTAACACTAACATCCCCGACAGGCTGTATATGTAGTGTAATTAACTACACTCGACTGTTAGGCAGTGTTAAACAACACTCACTACAGCACGACTGGGAATCCTTTCAGCAGTCTGTCAAACTGTGGGGGATACTGTTTAACTACACGTCAAGTAGTGCCTAGTTAGCGGACACATAGGTAGAGAGAGAGAGAGAGAGGGGGAGCAAGTCATAGGTTGTATCTAGCTGGTGTAATAATGACGCGCCCTATTTATTCTAATAGATACATTAAATGAAATCGAATCTGGATCTAGATCAACAGCACCGGAATGAGCCCCGGAGAATATGACAGAATAATAAAATACACCATCTGCTGAGAAAGACAAATAGAAGTGCGCCACACACAGCATATGTCACGGAGAAACCCTAGAACAGTCAGACAAGGTTGAAGTAGAAAAACCTCCCTGATCTCATGGTAGCAGGTACTCAAGTACGGGACAGAAACACAACGTGCCAAACTGTCACAGAAACAAAGTGCTAAACTGTCACAGGGTAACTGTACATGATTTCTGTCACGGTGACACTTGACAGGGTTTATAAGGGTAACAGTGACAGGCTATATAAGGGTAACAGTGACAGGCTATATAATAAATAATATAAAGGTAACGACAGCCCCGTACGCGTAGCAGTTCCAGGGTACCAAAACTGTGACAGGTCAGAGTAACAACACACTGTGTGATAGGGTACAAAACATCAAAACAGGGTACAAGATCGTGTACAGCAGATAGGTACTAGTTACTAGAGTACACACACCACTGCGTGTACAGGGGATTGTTACTCGGGTATAACGGGAGTAAGTAATCACACAGCTGTATAATAGTAGTGGGGAGGCTTTGTTTGAAGGGGGCATTAGCATTATACACGGAGGGGTGTATGTGTTGTATCCTAGTGTATATGTTAGTCACAGAGGGGTCTTTCCGGGTAAAAAGTGACGGAGAAGTTGATTCTAAACGGAGAAAAGGATCTGACAGCCAACAATGAAAGGATAATCAAAATTAATGAACAAATGTTTACTATCGATATGTACAAACTATTTAAGTAATAGAGGCATTCCATTTGTAAAAACAGTCGATTGGGATAAAGTTATATAATGCAAATTATGTTATAAACTATTAAGCCTTTGCCACGGCCGAATATGCAAGGATGTTCGACAATAAAAACCAGGTTGTTCAGCAAGAAACCACTGATTATACACTAGCGAGGCAAGCAGTAACAGTCTAGTCGGAGGAGACATCTAGTGACATTTTCTGATAACTATCAGTAAACAGCAAGATTGGATGGACCGGAGCGGATAACGTTGCTCTCCCAGTCCGGCCAACAAGGATGTACACAAGCAAATATGATTGAGTCTAGCTTCGTGCAAGTAATACTGGAATCAGTGCCAGCAATACAGGACTCAGTGCCAGCAGTAAACTCAGTTATACCAAGATTATAATGATCAAAGGTTAAGCAAACTATCGGTTATAACAACTTAACAGCAACTTTGGGGGCGACCTTCAATCGTAAATATTTTTGCCCTAAATGGTCATATTACTACAATATGGTCGTATTCATCAAAGAAATAAAACTGCTTCTCAAGAAGCGTTTCTAGCGATGTAAGATGAGTAAATCTAGTGAATTTACCTAGTGGATGTAATTAAAACGAGCACTACCCGAGTGCAAATGAGATGCAGCTGCGTGAGGAGCAGAGTGGAACCTCCATTTAGGCCGGCTCAGAGACTGGTTAGGCAGCAGAGGTGCAGAAGAGGTGGATTAAAGGTGTAGTCAAGGTTTAGTGAGTGTAAGACATGCTTCTTGTAATAAAAACGAGCACTACCAGAATTGAAATGTACAAAGAGCATGGTGGAACCTAGCCAGTCAACCTTGAATCACTCCGCATAACTTGGCGCACACTCCGCATAACCTGGCGCTCACACCGCATAACCCTGGCTCACGGAGAAAGCGTTTAATTGGTTAGAACGGTGGTACAGTAAATAGGGTTGCACTGTAAATAATGGTTTACATTTGACTATTTAAGAGTGGTAAAGGTGTAGTAAAGGTGTAATACTAGTAAAGGTGTAGTGAAGGTGTAGTAAAGGTGTAGTGAAGGTGTAGTGAAGGTGTAGTAAAGGTGTAATACTAGTAAAGGTGTAGTAAAGGTGTAGTAAAGGTGTATTACTAGTAAAGGTGTAATACTAGTAAAGGTGTAGTAAAGGTGTAGTAAAGGTGTAATACTAGTAAAGGTGTAGTGAAGGTGTAGTAAAGGTGTAGTGAAGGTGTAGTGAAGGTGTAGTAAAGGTGTAATACTAGTAAAGGTGTAGTAAAGGTGTAGTAAAGGTGTATTACTAGTAAAGGTGTAATACTAGTAAAGGTGTAGTAAAGGTGTAGTAAAGGTGTAATACTAGTAAAGGTGTAGTGAAGGTGTAATACTAGTAAAGGTGTAGTAAAGGTGTAGTAAAGGTGTATTACTAGTAAAGGTGTAATACTAGTAAAGGTGTAATACTAGTAAAGGTGTAGTAAAGGTGTAATACTAGTAAAGGTGTAGTAAAGGTGTAATACTAGTAAAGGTGTAGTAAAGGTGTAATACTAGTAAAGGTGTAGTAAAGGTGTAATACTAGTAAAGGTGTAGTAAAGGTGTAATACTAGTAAAGGTGTAGTAAAGGTGTAATACTAGTAAAGGTGTAGTAAAGGTGTAATACTAGTAAAGGTGTAGTAAAGGTGTAATACTAGTAAAGGTGTAATACTAGTAAAGGTGTAGTGAAGGTGTAATACTAGTAAAGGTGTAGTAAAGGTGTAGTAAAGGTGTAGTAAAGGTGTAGTAAAGGTGTAGTCGACCTATCTACTGCATCTTGTCAATCAATCAATGAAAAACAGAGGATCTTCATTCTACAATACGTCGACCTCTATCTACTACAAGACGCTCTACAAGTCACGAGAACATGTAGCAGTTGTAGCTGTATTTGACGTGACTTGCCACACTTGTTGAGACACACTATATTTGCGTGTATCAAGTTATTGACACCTAATTTAAGCAGAGTAAAGTCATCCTGTAAACTCAAGTCAGAACTCCAAATACCTGGTTGTAAAAAGCTGCTACAGAAGCGGTGAAGAGAGCCAGAAATGATGAATACCAACAACCAATTCCTATTATGGCTCTTGTGACAGCGCGGCACAATTCCTTTATAATTGGCAGATATCGGAGGAGTATAGAAATCAAGCCCAAACTGTCAAAACCCAAAAAAAACCTCATGCAACTTTGTATGTTACAATCAACCACCAATCGGAGAGGGAAGGGCTGCCCTGACTAATCAGTAATCACTGCCATCACGTGTGTCTGAGTAGGGGTTGAATGTCCTTATTCGGAACCACACGAAGTTATATTTAAAAGAGCCCTTTGAAAAGAGCACACGTACACATCAACCACTAAGCTTTATAATACCTTCCGGGAATTATATCCACTAAAACTCGGGGACACCGAGGGCTGATAATTTGCTCATTTTTCCCGCAAGAGAAGCGAGGGTATTATCAGCCCAGACTCAGACTGGCTGGCGGCAAGTTTCAAAACAAATAACACTGGCGTTCTATATATTAGACACTATATTGTATGATGCGCACGTATCGGATTACACCCCTTCTGCAATCGGAACCGGAACGTATTATAAAATATAATACCTCCGCAACTTCGTGCCCGCAAATTCCCTCCAGCAAGCTGTCGGGAATTATAGCGCGCAGCACTCAGTGGCGGAGGTATTAACTATTTATTAGAGGGATGCCGAAATCGCTTAACTGAAGTACTGTGCAAAAGTAACATTCCTCCAGGGCAGAGAATCTGAACAAAGCTGTGGAAGGATCATGAACGAGCAACATTCCATCCAATTACAGAATCAGTGCAATCAAGTTTTCCAAAATTACAAGAAGTCGACGGATCAAGGCACCCGAATAATAATGGGCATAAGGCTTTGACTTTGACACGATGACCATATCTTTCTTGACACTTAAATGTGAGCGGGTACCAATCCTTTGAAGCAAGCCAAACAGAGAACCAAGCTTTGGTC